AATGTATTCATGGAGTGAAACATGGGATTACGGCTGGACAGATTATTGTATTCGACTGTATTCGACTGTATTCATGGCGTGAAATAGGGGATTACACTGTTTTAAAATGGAAAGTGAATCAATTAACATAATAGACTCCTAATATAACTCAACAAACTCAATTATCACACAGAAATTTTGTATTTTCAGTTATAAAAAAGATTCTCAACCGAAAAATACCCCAAAAACATAGCAATCTTCAGAGAAATTATATAATACATCTGAATACATAAATTATATTAATTAAAAAAACTTATGAATACATTCATGGCATATAGCGAGACAGTGAATACAATAAAATACGTAGAATACAGCGGGATACATTGAAATACAATGAGAAAAAAAGACAGTGAATACAATGAAATACATGGAATACAACGAGATATATTGAATTACAATGGAGAAAAAGACAATGATTTTAGTTATGTGGCCCAATGAAACAACCCAATTAGCTGAATACAGGAAGTCGATGATTCTAGAATCTAGATTGCGTTCCGAAGTCTGACGACGACTCTCTCTCTCTCTCTCTCTCAACTGTTAAAAAATTCTAGTCTGAATGAATATATAAAAGGATTGTGAAAAAATGGCATTTTTGAGGTCCATTGTGACTGCAAAAACAACCGCCATTGCTGCTGTTATTCCAGCTGCTGCTTTTGCTGTTTCTTCCATTTCCTCTTCCTCCTCTCTTCTTCGTACTTCGAACGCCTTTCAAAGAATCTAAAATTTGGCTCAATACTCAAGCAAAGATTCTTTCCCTTCCGCAATCGGAAATTTTAATGGGATGGGGGAAGAGAATGGGGTGTATCAAAGTAGAGAGAGAAAGAAAAAAATGTAAATGATTAGCGTGTTTAGTGGCTTAGGGCTAGGAGGTAACCATATTTAAATATTTTGCTATAAACCTTAAAAGGTATCTATAGAATATAATTTTTTAAATGGTATTTATTTAAAATAAATAAGGTGTTAACCTTTGCTATAGGAGGTAAAAATTCCAATCAGTAAATCTCGTTAGGATTATGGTCTTGCAATAAACTGCACCTTACTTTATTTTAGGTTCGCTATTGTGATGTACCAAAATAGGCCCAACAAAACTGAGTTGTCCCAGAGCGGGAAAAATTAGGGCTTTTGCATCTATATCCGGCTTTGGAGTCACAGTTGAACCTATACCCACTTTGCAAAAATATTGCAAGCGTACCCATTTTACGATCAACTTCAAACTTATCAGGTCTAAAGTTAAAAAAATTAGTGTGAAGTGAAAAAATTATACTTCAGATACACTTAAGGCCATATAAGTCTGAAGTGCAACCAATGGTTTCATGCACTTAAGGCCAATAAGTGTAAAGTAAAAAATTGCACTTTAGATGCACTTAAGGCCAAAAAGTCTTAAGTGCAACAAACGTTTTCCTTCACTTAAGGCCAATAAGTCTGAAGTGAAAAATTGCACTTCAGATGCACATAACGCCAAATAGGTCAGAAGTATAACCAATGGTTTCATGCACTTAAGGCAAATAAGCCTGAAGTGAAAAATTGCACTTCAGATGCACTTAAGGCCAAAAGGTCTGAAGTGCAACAAACGTTTTGCTACACTTAAGGCCAAATTGCACTTCAGATGCACTTAAGGCCAAAAGGTCTGAAGTGCAACAAACATTTTGCTACACTTAAGGCCAATAAGTCTTAAGTGAAAAATTGCACTTCAGATGCACTTAAAGCCAAAAGGTCTGAAGTGCAACATACGTTTTGCTACACTTAAGGCCAAATTGCACTTCAGATGCACTTAAGGCCAAAAGGTCTGAAGTGCAACAAACGTTTTGCTACACTTAAGGCCAATAAGTCTGAAGTAAAAATTGCACTTCAGATGCACTTAAGGCCAAAAGGTTTGAAGTGCAACAAACGCTTTGCAACACTTAAGGCTAATAAGTCTGAAGTGAAAAATTGCACTTCAGGTGCACTTAAGGCAAAAAGGTCTGAAGTGCAACTAACGTTTTCAAGCGCTTAAGGCCAAATAGGCCTGAAGTGCAAATTGCCCAAGGACAGAAATTTATTCTTCTAATTATAATAATCAAATATACGATTTAATACCTAAATCTACTCCAAATGAGCTCAAATTTGAAACATAGCCTCCAAATATCAACAGGAACAAACCCCAATCATTAATTTCTAGAAACAACAATAAATCTAAAGAACCCATTTTGCAATTAAGAAAAAGAAGAAGAAGAAACCCTAAGCAATAGAGTAAAAATAAAGCGTCATAACAGCTCACCACTGTAAAACATCATAAACTACCTTAAAATATGTTCACAAACACCATATAAAATCACTGTCACCCGAAGATAAAGGAGGAGGAGGAGGAGGGGTGGAGGAGGAGGGGGAGGGGAGGAGGGGGAGGGGGAGGGGGAGGGGGAGGAGAAAGAGGCCTAAAGTTGTTTAAAAAGTCGGGTACAAGTTAAAAAAATTTTAAAAAGTGAGTATATGTTCAATGGGGAGCGACCCAAAATAGGGCGCCCACTTTTTTTTTTTGGGAAAAATTCAAGCAATAGCCACTTTTCATCTCCTATAGTTGAAAATTGAAAATGAAACTGTATAGTCCCACTAAAAATAATAACCGAAAAATGTAATAAAATTTGTATATTTTTTGTATATAACATACAATATATATATATATATATTGTATGTTATATACAAAAATTATACAAATTTTATTCACTTTTTCAGCTACCAGACGTAAATAGTTTCTGACGCGGGCCAAAAGTGATAATACCCCTTGAAAATTAGTCATTATTTTAAAATTTCAAATTCTACGAGTGAAGTTCCAAGAGTTTCACTAGTAAAATTTAAAACTCCACGATAATGGCTATTTTTCATAGATAGAGCCAAAAAGCCGCTAGCGGATGCTATTTCTATATAAAAGAACTGCAAGGCAGTATTTCTAAGGAAGAAACATGGAATCGGGAAAAGAGGAGCAAAGATAGTGCTATTTCAATATTTGATATCTTTTGAAATGATTAATTCTGTAAATCTTAGTAGTTAATGTCAAGTATTTGGTGTTCCTAACTTGAGAGATAGTAGAGTTAGAGTATTGCAAGTGGGTCATTATTATCCATTTTTCATGTACATAAATTTTCCTCGTAGTTAGGTGTAAAATTGAGATATAGCCCACAAAAGCATTTAGACAATTATGCAGGAAGTAAAAGTCTCCTCTTCAGATTCACTTCTTCCCCTCTTTTTCTCTAATGAACTTACGTAGATAGATAGCTAGTCGATATTGACAAGATTGTGATCGAGACTAGCTTAGTGGAGATCAACCTCAGCTCCAATGGCTGAATCTGGAAGCTTCTGAAGAGTCCTTGTGAGAGAGAGAGGAAGAAGATGAAAGCAGAAGAAGAATGCTTTGATGAAGAATGAAGCTCGATTGTATTGAATCTATACAATAACATATATACACGCAGAGAGGGTGACAGTTGTACACCTTGACCAGTAACTGCTGCTAGTTGTATCCTAACTAACTAACCAACTAAAAAATGAATAGAAAAGAATAAATACAATCTCAATACTCCCCCTCGCCCCTCAAGTTGGAGGTGGGAAAGCACAACCAACTTGTTCAAAATAGTAGAGTGTTTGATGCCTGTGAGTGCCTCGGTACGAATGTCTGCAAGCTGGTCGTTGGTGGCAATGTAATGTAAGGAAACCAGACCTTCCTGTAGCTGCTTTCGAACAAAGTGATAATCTACTTCGATATATTTTGTGCGTTCATGAAAAACACCGGGTTCCTTGCTATGTGTAAAGCTGACTCATTATCACAAAATACTCTAATAGGAGCAAGAGAGGGGACTGTCAGTTCATCAAGTAATCTTTTCAACCAAACTAACTCCCTAACCACTTTTCTCAAGGATCTGTATTCAGCTTCTGCTGAAGACAATGAAATTGTCTCTTGCTTCTTAGATTTCCAGCTGATAGGATTACTTCCCAACAATACAATATAACCACTGATAAATTTCCTTGAGTCTGGGCAAGCTACCCAATCAGAATCACTAGGCTTTGATGGACCAGTCTGGATCATTAGGCATAAACACACCCAGAGTAGGATCACCTTTGAGGTATCTCAACAGATGGAAAGCAGCTTTCAAATGGGGTTCTGTAGGGTCCTGCATAAACTGGATAAGGTGGTGCACACTAAAAGCAATGTCCAATCTTGTGTTTGTGACGAAGTTCAGCTTTCCAACTAGCTTTCAGTAGTAAGTATGGTCCGTTAAAGGCATCCCCTCTTTTGCTCTTAGTTTTACATTGGGATCAAGAGGTGAAGTGAGAGTACTGCACTCCACGCAATGATACTCCTTTAGTAAGTCAAGAACAAACTTCCTTTGGGAGATAATAACACCATCTGCCTTGTACAAAACCTCCAAATCTAATAAATAGTGTAACTTCCCCAAATCCTTGATCTTGAACGTATTGTGTAGGAAAGTTTTTAGCTGGTCGATTTCTGATTGGTCTATACCTGTAAGTAGAACATCATCAACATAAACTGCTACGTATACAACTGAGTCCCCTTTCCTCTTCGAAAATAATGAGTAATCATTCATAGAATGTTCATATCCCATTGAACACAATGCCTCAGTTAATTTTTCATTCCATTGTCTGCTTGCCTGTTTCAAGCCATACAGAGATTTATTCAATTTACAGACCAAACCTTGTCTATCCACCATAAGTCCTGGTGGGACTTCCATGTACACCTCTTCATGCAAGTCACCATGAAGGAATGTGTTGTTTACATCCAATTGGAATATGTTCCACCCACTCTTTACTACAATTGCAATAAGTGTCCTAACTATAGTCATCTTTACCACCGGGGAAAAAGTTTCTGTGTAATCCACTCCTACTTGTTGTGTGTAGCCTTTCACTACTAACCTAGCCTTGAACCATACCATTCAATGGTTCCATCTGCTTTGTGCTTTACTTTATAAACCCATCTACATCCTATTGCCTTTCTTTCCGGGAGGCATAGGTCCTAGATCCCAAGTATTATTAGCATGAAGGGCTTCAAACTCCTGAGCCATAGCTGCTTTCCAAACAGGGTTGATAGCAGCTTCCTCAAATGAAGATGGTTCACTATCATTGTATATGCTACATACCAAAGATTGACTATCATGAACCAAGTATAATGACCCGGCCGGTCGTCGTGAGAGTTGTAGCCCTATTCCCCCATTTACTGCACATTTTGTGCTTTATAAATTTTATGTGACTTGCCGAGGTAGTCGGTTCGGGTCCGGAGAGATTTCGGAATGAATTGAGACACTTAGTCTCAAGGTTAGAAGCTTAAGTTGAAAAGGTTGACTGGATGTTGACTTACGGTTAAACGTCTCCAGAATAGAGTTTTCATAGTTCTGTTAGCTCTTTTGGGTGATTTTGGACTTGGGAGCGTTCTGGATTGTGATTTGGAGATCCGTAGTGGAATTGGGCTTGAAATGGCGAAAGTTGGATTTTTGAAAAGTTTGATCGGGAGTGGACTTGTTGATATCGGGGTCGGATTCCTATTCCAGAAGTTGGGGTAGGTCGGTGGTGTCATTTGTGACTTCTGTGCAAAATTTGAGGTCAATCGGACGTGATTTGATAGGTTTCAGCATCATTTGTTGAAGTTTGAAATTCCTTAGTTTCAATAGGCTTTAATTGGGGTACGATTTGTGTTTCTTATGTTGTTTGAGGTGATTTGAGGGCTTGAATAAATTCGTATCGTGATTTAAGACTTGTTGGTATGTTTGGTTGAGTTTCCGAGGGCCTCGGGTTGATTCCGTATGTTTAACAGATCAAAAGTTGAAGTTGAGGGACTGTTGTTGCTGAAGCTTTCTGATGCAATCGTACCTACGGATCATTGGTTGCAGGTGCGAGATGGGGATGCACAAAAGCGGAGTTTGGACGGGTGGACTGTGGAGCGTAGATGCGGAAGGACTTCCGTAGGTGCGGACTCGCACCTGCGCTTGGGGATGCATAGAAGCGGAAGTAGGAGTGATGAGCTGGTCCGCAAAAGTGGCTTCGTGTGCGCAGATGCGTGCCCGCAGAAGTGAGGCTTAGACCGCAGAAGCGATGGTCTGCTTAGTGGTTTTCACGGATGCGGATGTTAGACCGCAAAACCGGTGCCGCAGAAGAAGCGAAATGACTGGGCAGAACATATAAATTCAAGGGTACATGATTTTTCTTCATTTTGGACATTTCAAGCTCGGTCTAAGGCAATTTTTCAAAGGGTTTTTGAAGAATTATTGAGGTAAGTTCACTTCAGCTCTTTTTTATTCAATAATCTTGTTTCCCCATTGGTTTTCCCACCTAGATTGTGTGGTTTTGAGGTGAAATTTGGGGGTCTGAGGCTAGGGATTTGGAGAGTTTGATTTGAGGATTTGAGTTGCGTTTTAGTGTCTGATTTTGGTAAAATTGGTATGTTTAGACTCGTGGTTGAATGGTCTTTTCGGTTTTGTGACTTTTGTCGGATTTCGAGACGTGGGCCCAGGGGCTGGCATTGAGTCGCTTTTTGACTTTTGATGTATAACTTCGTATTTCCTAATGGAATTGTTTTCTTTAGCGTGTGTTGAATATATCGTACTGTTTATGGCTAGATTCGGGACATCTGGAGGCCGATTTGCGAGGCAAATGTGTGTTGGAGTAGAGATTTGCTCGGATTGAGGTAAGTAATAGTTCTAAATCTGGTTCTGAGGGTATGGAACCCCGTATTATATATCATATGACTAGATTGGAAGTGACACACATGCTAGATGACGGGCGTGTGGGTGTGCACCGTAGGAATTGTGACTTGGTGAAATTCCATGGAACCATATAGTTAAAATTTTGTTTTATCCGTATATTCTCCATGTGTTATAACAAATGAACTGCAAACCATGTTAGAAATCATGTTTAGACTATGTGCTGGTACTGTAGGGACCCACAGAGTCCATGTTACATGTTAAACTGTCTGCTAAATTGCTATTGTACTCAATCTCCGTTTCACTTGCATATCATACCTTAATCTCTTCTGTTCCTTGTTGATACATTACGTCATTTCTGTTTGGGTTGATTCCCATGATTTCTGAGAGCCAAAGAGACTGGAGAGGTTGGTGACTGGGTTGGGGCTTGAGTGCCGAGCTGTGAGTGATATATGCATATATGTGGATTAGTTGCACGCCGCCATAATCCTTATGGTTGTATATATGTGGATCGGGTTGTACGCCCCAACGAGCCTTATGGCTATATATATTTATTAGATTGGGCTTCACGCCAAAACACGTTCTATTGATTTATGCCATGATTTTCTTGATATAGCGCTTGGGCCGAAGGAGCCCCTCCGGAGTCTGTACACACCCCCAATGGGTGCAGGTACCTACGGAGTGCGAGTGCTGAGTGTTGATTGAAAGGGAGGGTTGAGTGACTATGGCCTTGAGAGGATGCCTTCGATTTTATTATTGTTGCACTTAGCTGTCATGTATCATGTCATGAAATTTCTGAAGATATTACATTTTGTTTCACTTAAACCTATCTTGAAGTAGCTATTTTGACCTAATTTATCGAACTTGAAAGCATGCCTACCTTCCAATGTTGAAATCTCTGTAATTGAACTATAAATGTGAATCTCGTTACTTTCAGTTCTTTATTTAGTCTTGTTACTTACTGAGTTGGTTGTACTCACGCTACACCCTGCACTTCGTGTGCAGATCTAGGTGTTTCCGGACACGGTGGGTGTTGATTCTCTGCGCAGTTGATCCTATTTTTTGGAGATAGCTGCCCGGCATCCACAGTCCTTGTTTCTCCTTCCCTATCTTTTCACTTATTGTATTTAGTTTCAGACTATCATAGATAGTATATCTCAAACTTGTGAAATTTAGATGCTCATGTACTCTATGACACCCCGATGCTGGGAACTTCCGTGTCGTGTTTTGGGTTTTCTATCCCATTATAAGAACTTATATTATTTAAAACCGCTTTAACTCATTCTCTGCTAAAAGTGTTAGAATTATTTTGAATGTTGGCTTGCCTAGTACCATGTTAGGCACCATCATGACAGGTTAGGATTTTTTGGTCGTGACAAGTTTGTATCAAAGCCTAGGTTGCAGAGGTCTCACGAGTCATGAGCAGGTTTAGTAGAGTCTTGCGGATCGGTACGGAGACGTCTGTACTTATCTTCGAGAGGCTGCCAAACCCTAAGGAAACTTCACTTTCTTGTATTCTTGTCGTGCGAATCTGTTGATTCCGGTTACTAAACTTCTGTTATTCCATTCTCTCACAGATGGTGAGGACACGTGCTACCGGACAGGATGGACAACCACCAGTATAACTAGTTAGGGCCGCGAGAGGGCGAGGTCGTGGTAGGGGTCACGTTAGGGGCAGAGGTGCAGCTCGTACAGTAGCTAGAGCAGCACCCGCATACCCACCAGTCGCTCCAGCTCAAGAGCAGGTACCAGATACATTGAGCCAGTGGGGCCAGCTCGGGCACCAACTGTGCCTATCGTGATTCTAGGCCTTCAGGAGGCTTTGGCTCAGATTCTGACTGTGTGCACTAGCCTTGCTCAGGCGGTCTCGATTCTGACCGCAGCAACCACTTCTCAGATCGGGGGAGGCACTGTCACGCCCCGAACCTGGGGGGCGAGACCGACACCCAGTGCCTCACCTATCCTTGTGTACCAACTTGAGACTAAGGGACTCTGAACATATAATGTTCTACTTTGGCCATGGGGCCACATTGCAATACAATTTGCGAAGCAAAGTATAAAATTGAACGGAAACTACCGCTGACTAAACATCAATATAAAGCTGGGTCGACAAGGCCGTCATAACTACTACAGCTGACAAACCAACAAAATATACATACAAGGCCTATAAGCCCAACATACTGCACTAACTGACAAGATATGTCTACAAGCCTCTACTGCTGGATGTACTGTGATCGGAACAGGGCCTCGACCTACCCATAAAATAACTGAAAGCTGAAACTGAACTGATTCTATAATGGCTTAAAGTAACTGGGAGTAAAACATAATCTGAAGATATGCTTACTTGCTGATACTGACTTAACTCTCTTAATATAGTAAGTAAAATAGCTGTCCGGCCCTATAATGCTCGGTATATGTATATATCTGCTCTACCGTAGTAGGCTCGCTCATACGACCTCATCCATACTAGGCTCTGTATCTCAGCCAACTGCTCGCTCATCGGCGCTCGGTCACAGTAGGCTCGGTATATGACTTACCATCTGATCAGAGGTTGCCCAATAGGGGCCTACCCACCAATTATATCACGACCCAAACCGATGGGCCGCGACGGGTGCCTGAGTCCTGCCTGTCAAACACTCCTAAGCATGTGTCTAAGGATATGAACCTATATAACATCTATTGAATTACGAAGATAGCATACATAAAGGAAATCTACCAACAAGGCATATGTACGTATACATGCAGAATACAGTGGGCGAGCCGGCAAGGCTGCTATAGACAACTATACATCCAATAACTGAAAGCCGACAAGGCTACATACAACCCAAGTAGACATACTGTCTACAGACCTCAAATGAAAATATAACTGTACAAAGACGGGACTGAGCATTTTTAAAAAATTAAACTAATTAACTAATTACAAAAATTATAAAAACTACTTAATCCTGAATTAAAAGAGAAAGATCAATAAAAGGAAAAAGTGTAAAAAATAAAGCATTTTTTTGTGATTTCGATTTTCATAAAACAAGTGGTTATGATTAATCCTAAAAAATATAAAAATAAAGCCTAAATGTCATGCGTGATATTTTTTGGTATTTTTTATTATTTAAATAAAAATTAAACATGCAAGAAAAATGTAAACAATTAAAAAATCTATGAAATTTCCTAAAATGGTAAATAATTAAGAAAAATCTATTTTCTTGGATTTTGTAGGAGTATTTCGTATAGGGCAAAAATCACGTGCTTACAGCTGCCCCTCTTTGCTCGAAGACACGAAGGGTTTTCGGGCAAAGATAAATGAGCACCATGAAGGATTTTTGCCTGCCCAGCACTCCATGAGAAGCATTTTGAAAACCGTGTGACCGAACCTTGCTTCAAAGGTTGCCTACATATCCTTGGCTATAAAGGAATCAGGTCAGTGTAGTTCTGGAAAGT